TTCTTTGTGTTGGGAACATTTCACATCTTCTCTTCTAGCTATTTTGAACTATACAAGATATTGTTTTTATCTATAGTCACCCTATGGTTCTATTGAACACTATAACTTATTATTTCCTCTAAGCCATTAACTACTCTCCCTTCACCACCCCCCCCACCACAAACACCCTTCCCAGCCTCTGATAACAATCACTCTACTCTGTACCTCTGTGACATGCACTTTTTAGCTCCCATAGATAAGTGAGAACATGCAATTTTTATCTTTCTGTGCCTGGCTTATTTCAGTTAACATAATGACTTCTAGTTCCATATATGTTGCTGCAAATGATAGGATTTTATTCTTTTTCATGGCTGAATAGTATTCCATTGCATGTATATCTCTACTCCATTTTCTTTATCCATTCATCCATTGATGGACATTTAGTTTGATTCCATATCTTGGCTATTGTGAATAGTGCTGCAATAAACCTGGGGGTGCAGGTATTAATTTGATATACTGATTTCACTGCCTTTGGCTATATATCATATGATTTCTGGATGGTATGATGGCTCTTTTTCATTTTCTGAGGAACCTCCAAACTGCTCTCCATAGTGAATGTAATAATTTACATTCCCAGCAACAGCATATAAGAGTTTTCTTTTCTCTGCATTCTTGCCAGAATTTGTTAATTTTTGTCTTTTGATAATAGCCATGCTAACTGGGGTCACTGTGGTTTTGATTTGCATTTCCCTGATGAATAGTTCAGCATTTTTCATATATTTATTGGCCATTTACATGTCTGTTTGAGAAATGTCTATTCAGATCCTTTGCCCACTTTTAAATGGGATAACTTGGGTTTTTTGATGTTGTGGATCACAAACATTTAATAAAAGCATTCATACATTTGGGTTTAAAGCTATAATTTCAGTTTTTGCTTTTATTCATCCTATTTATATTTTTGTCTTGATTTTAAAAAAATTGAGAATTTTGTGTTGATTTTTCAACTTTTCCCCCTTCCTACTATTAATAACTTGGAAATGTACATCCTGTTGCAATTATTTTAATAGTCACATGCTATTAATTACTAGATATATAATTACCTTATCGGAATGTAAATTTAATAAACAGCTACATAACTTCCAATATGACACCAGGCTCTTAGAAATGTCAAAATCCATTTAAGCCCCTCCTGATGTTTTTTCTGATTTTATGATACTTTAAGTTTATTTTTTGCAAAAGGAAAATAGATGTTTTTCTGATTTCTTATTCTGCCAATGTTCTTTTACATTGCCCACATACTACCACTTTCTTTGCTCTTCATTCCTTCCTGTATTTATTTATTTTAAGGTCATGTTCCTCCTGAAGTACATACTTCAAATTTTCCATTAGCTTGGTTTGCTGGTTACAAACTCTGTGTTTTGTTTGTATAAAAATAACTATTTTATCCTCCTTTTCAAAACTTTTGTGAGTGACGCAGCCCTTAGAATGCCAGGTTAATATGTGCAGCATCTCCCCATCCAGTCTTTGATATGCCTGAGCCGAAGCCCAAGTTTGAAATGCCCATATGCTCTCAGAAACCTTGTGAAATAACAATGCCTATCTGAATAGGATTGATGATGCACTTACATGAGATAAGGATGGAAAATTCCTGGTATGGAGGTCGAAGGCAACTAAAGGTAGTTATCATTATTATTCTTTCAGCTGAAGGCATTGGCTCTGAAACTTCCAGATTTTAAGGTTTTTTTTTTTTTTTTTTTTTTTTTTTTTTTTTTTTT